CAATTAGTGCTCAGTATCATGTATGTAAATCAAACCAAAAATCAAATTACAAATTTCATAGTTTATTAGGACAAAAAATGTAGATTGAGTGTTTGAGATGTTAGAATGTTTAAGGGGGTGTTTAGATTAAGAAATGTTTAAATAAGGGATTTAAGTGCAATTCCCTTATTTAAAAATCCAGAGATTTTAAGTGTGGGTTTTTGGACAATTCATTTGTTTGTTTACGAGCTAGGATTTTATTATCCAAGAATTTAATTTTATGACAAATAACAAAATACAACTTTCCCTTCTCAACATATTACAGAACGAAAAACCTAATCCCTAAGCCCTCTTTCTTCCTCTGCAATTTCTTTCGGCGCCCAAGACCAACTAAACAAACCCAATCAACTTTATCTTTTTTTGGTAATGGTGATATAGGATTAATTAAAAAAACAAAAAATAGAGAAACACCGAGTCAAAGAAATAGAGGTACGGAAAGAGGGAGAAGAAGTAGGGAGACGAAAGGAGGCAGGGGAGGGGAATAGGCACCCCCACCAATCCCTGCAAGAGAATGCTCCCAATAGGCACAAAACCTTCAAACACACAAATTAACTCTACTCAATTCATCAAATCTGACAGATCAATCAATAGGGGCAAGGCCAGTAAAGGCGACGACACGAAAGCTTTCAAACAAGATAGAGGACATCCCCCAGAGACATCAGTTCCCCTCCTATGGAATTGTGTTATTCCTTGGTACAAAGGTTCTTGTCTTCATCTTCCTCAGCCAATTCTCCGCCACTCCCCTGTAAACCTTACGCGCAACAACTAGTCACTGAGATGTATTTCACCCAAACCTTGTAGGCAATCACATGAGCTGGCGATTCAGTGCTTCTAAAAATCCTTGTGTTTTTGTTATCCACACATTCTAGCACAGAGCATGAAGGACCACCCTAGTGCACCATTGAGTAGCATCCTCCAGTTTATAATGAGCCATTGTTTAATCCCTTCCGTCAAGTCTCCAATCCTGCTAATCCTGTTGCAATTTTTATGAAGGTTTTCAAGATGCTCCAGACTGTCTTCGAAAAATTGCAGCTGATGAAAACATGATTAATGGTTTCTTCATCCCTCTTGCATAAGGCGCATCTATTGGTGATATAGAAGCATTTCTTCTTTAGGTTGTCCATGGCTAAGATCCTCTTATGGAAGACCAGCCAAAGAAAGATGCAGATCTTGAATGGAGAGCCATCTGGCCAGGGAAAGCGTCGACAACCAACTTTTTATAGGCAGAGCAGACACTAAAACCCGCTGAAGGAGTCGGATCCCAGACGAGCCTATCAGGTCCTGCAGAAAACAAAGGAAAACAAATGAAGGTTTTCCGACAACACGAATAATCTCTCCCTTTCCCTCTCAGCCCTCCTGGAGTATAAGGTTTAAAGGAATTTCCCACAAAACAATCTCACCTTGCAAGGATAAGTAATCAGCAACGCGAGAGCCCGGGGATTCCGCCACAGACAGGAGTCTCGGGAAATCATCTACTAGATGAGTGCCTTTAATCCATACATCGAACCAGAAAGACATCCAACAACCACTACTCTGCTCAACGCGAGCCAATTTCCAAAATTTGTCCTTGAGTTTTAAGATTTGCCGCCAGGGGCTGCAGCCAACACCACTCGCAGGGGTTTTTGTAAACCATTCAG